CCTGCGGCAGCTAACCTGGCTGCTCGGAGCTTCCGTCGCGCATTCACTTATTGTGAGTCGTGTCACTCTTGAGTCGTTAAGTCTTTAGGATGTCAGTGAGCATAGCTATAGTCGGTCCACGAGTACAATGTGTTCCTTTGACGTCAATTATTGGCATACCAATTGATATACTACCTATTCGATACTCAGATTTCGTGCTTCTTCTGTCCGAAACTGAAATTTTACTTTTCTTATTTTTCCGTTTGCACTGCCACTACTCGATTCATGCTAGACCTTTGTACACTGAGTCCATTAATGGCGTCCAGCTTATTGACGCATTGCGGTGAGATAAGAGACGAAAGTCGGCAGCGCCTGCTCACGTATCTTCCTGTGCTGTGCGCGCAACGGTGCGTCCCTTTCGCACAGCACGAGTGCGACTAACTAACCTAACCTGACCCCCTATGGCGCACTCACTTGCACTCGTGCTGTGCAACAAGGACGCACCGATCGCGTCGCGAGGCTACGACGTCTCACTCGCACCATAGTGCTCTCTGTGCTGCGCACACAGGTGCGTATCTCGATACCAACTTCGACTCTCTTACCTCGTCGAACTGCTATGCTGCATCGACGACCTGGACACCAATAATGATGACGCCCAGTGTTACAGGTTGCAACTGTTTTTCCTTTTTTCTTTTACTTTCATGTATTTCGTATCGCTCAAAAGTCGAAGCTGATGACAAAGCTGAAAACTTGGGCACTCGTGGGACTTGATGCTGTCAAGGGATTATTATCCCGTTATTTTGTTTACATTCCTGAAAGGAGAAGTAAAGGCGTAGGTAGGATAATATTGAAGAAAATAAGGATAAGCAATGCAGGAGAAAGTCGCAGAATAAAAATGAGAGACAGAGACGCGCGTGCATGTGCGCCGCGTGTGTTCGCGTTTCGCGAATCCTGCCGAACGAGGTCCGCATCCTGTCGTATCAAACATTCAAAAGGGTGCTAAAAAGAAAGTGCATTTGTATCCCGCGCAATGCGACTGCGGGCTCGGAAAAACATAAATAATTCAAAAGTTTTTATGCAACCGCAAGAGGTTCAGGAATCGGGCGACAAATTGTTACATAAATGGGTCAAAATGTTGATATATGTTTTGGAGAACGACGAGGCTATACAACGGCTATAACAACCATGTCACTCTTACTTTTAGTTTTTACTATTATAGTTTATACCAACTACCATTCCTCTCTTCTTCTACTTAATCTTCGAGCGAATCAAAAAGCTAACCTAACCTCGCGTACTCTGATAAGTGATAATACTTTGGCAGACGGTCGAGCGCCTGGCGGTACAATCCTCGTACAGACGATTGCTTTTGCTTCGACGCTGATATCTGGATCATTGAAGAAGGAGGATTCAGAGAGAATTAAAAGACCACGTGAAGGAAAGAGCGTATAAATTAATCTGGACAAACATTTATGAGAGACAAATACAATGTGGGTGGGTCAATTAACGGTAAAATCTCTAATTAATGATCAGAAGCTCTAATGAAAAATTGGGCCGCTCGACAGTCTTTCTCGGCACTTGTAATTTATTAATTATTCGCACGCGAATTCTTCATCTGTGCCCTATTATGTAATCGTACGACTCGCCTACCGAGATCGTCCGAAGATTCAGGAATTCCTGGATTTATTGATCGTCGGTGGGGCAATTGCCTATTGATTCTCCAGCAATACGTATTCCATATTGAAAGTGGGGGCGGCTGTGTGCGTGCGTTCAGGTACTTGCTAATGTCTCCTTGAGGCTATGTGGCCAATGGCAGCTGCATACCAAGATGCAATTATTACTCGAGCCAATATACCATGGAATCTTGGAATACCTTCGTCTCTAAGTGCCAAAGTTCAGGGCATGTTTTGGATATCGGCAAAGTTTTAGTGGTGGGGGTTCATTAGAGAAGACCCTTGTGGCTACCGAGGTTCAATCGACAATTACCAGTTTCCAAGAATAGTGCTACCTTGTATATTAGTGGCATTTGGGAGGAATCTTGTGACGTAGTGTTCGGCTAATTTCCGTAGGAGATAATCTGATAACCGATGAGAATTGTGAATCTTTGGTCTGGGGGGAGGGGGCCTAGAAAAGAGTTAAAAACGTAAATGCAACACCCCCCTAAATATCTTGTGGCTCTAGTGGGCCAAATGACATCCTGTTGTGTTAATCGTCATTATTAAATGGATGCGAAGGCTGGCGTCTCCAATGGCAGCCAATTACTTAAGAAGCTCAGGAAACGGTACGATGTGCTTCCGGCCAACCGGAGGCCATGACCTTTCTCTCCCCGATGAGTTTTTCTGTGACTCCTCGCGCGACTTCTATAATTTTCTGCTAAGCATTTTTTATTCCACTCTCGTCGTTTGCATAAAGTGAGCTATTCACGCTTTTAATATAGGCAAATGAAGTTACGCTCCGGAACTAATCATATTTGCATGCGGAACAGCAATCTCCTTTGAGCCCTGCAATACTTATTACTTTAGGCTAGTCGCCGGGAAATTTTTATAGCTATGAAAACTGACACGATCTCTTTTTCACTTTTCCTAGCTTCACTGCACTCACGAAACGCCTCCCTTTCAAAAACTATCCTGCTCCAACTTCCCCCTCACGTCGCTCCCTCAACGTCACTCCCCTATCAAAGTCGAAACCTAATTACGTAATAACGTACTCTCAACTTTCAAAGATCTTCGGTAATATCGCAGACTAATTCTCTTTAGACGCTACAACTTACTTTTACCTATACGCGCAACCTCATGGGGCCCATCGGGCAAATTTGGAATTGACTGGTTATATAACAACGATTTACACGTACCGGGCCGGAAGTAATCTCTCTCAGTCAGTCAAGCAGTTCGAATAATCCTTACTTTTTCATGCCTATAGATATATTTTATTATCAATGAAACTTGTGCAAAAGAAAAGAATTCATCGAATTTGCAAATGAGTCAGTACTCGGTGGTGATCATCTTATGACGTAACGAGATGGAAATAGAAAATAGTTCTAATTGATCCTAAATAACCTAACCTAACAATAGGAGACACAAAATTGGCCCAATATCATTATTATCCCTCGCTTCCATTCTAATGTAACAAATGGCTCGATTAGGATTTATAGTTTTTAAATTATGAGGAATGGTCGAAATGACATTCGGTGAATGCGTTTGCGTCTGCAATTATATTTCTGATGGTCAGAGTCATTCGATCGGAATGACATTAATAGAGATTTTACATGAAAGATCCGTTCGATGATGTGCGATATTTCCTTTTGCAGTTAATGTCAGTCGTTATCGAATCGCATCGTGATTGCGTAGGTCGGATTGCCCAATCATCGGACATGTACCCCAGTAATCGTCAGCGTGCGCTTTGACTATAGCAAAGTCTACAGTATTATAACATAACATAAGAGACGACTAATAATGGTACATGGCCGATGACTGGGCCATCCACCTTATTACGATTAACTTTAACAAAACGGTTTTACAAGAGACTAATAATTGCGCTAATTAAAATCGTAATATCCTTTCAAATCTGCTGCGTTCTCAATATGACAAATCATTTGAGTTTTGTTTATTGAAATACACGTGATCGATTTATCCGTTTAATACCGTATCGCAATTCACGTACTAAAATATTGGTCCACGTGCGTAATCGTGTAATATGTAGCTGTACATATATGATATATGATATATGAAGTGAGTACGAATGGCGGAAAGGGAAGCTCGAGGTTATGATCGTGCATCCACAGGTTGTTCATTTTCCAGGATCCTCTGAACGCCAGCAGCTCGCCATTTCTATGCAATAGACCGTTACTCGAATAGGAACTAAAGTTCGATAGTCGACTCAGCTCCTACCTTAATCGCAGCAGCACAACGTGTAATGCGTACCCGAGTCCAAATTTTAACTCTCCCTTGAATCATCTTGGAAACTATTTCCTCCCCATCGTACGAGCCGAGAGATTCTGCGTTCGTCGTACCAGACCCGACTTGGAGAATTTAGAGTTGTTGGGAAACCTTCGCTGCCCCCCCCTCCCCCC